CGAGGCGTATATTTACGAGTACTGGCATGATCGTTGATGTCAAAAACACTTTACGGGCATTTATTCAGAGCTGTTCAAAATTTGATGCCACCCTGAGGGAAAAAAAAACAGTAAATGAAAATGTACACCAGCTGTGTTCTGTCGCATACTAATTTTCTATGTTTTCCGGTGACATGAATTCCGGATAATGCAAATATCATTTGCGACCCGCTTTGGATTCATGTCACCGAGGTTTTACTGCATCTGCCTTCATCCAAAAGGTGTGAAAAAGGCGGGGGAATGCACGTATATACTCTGTATGGCCTCCGTCAATTATGTGATAATTAGTGACATAAAAATTAAACTAGACACTGACATACACACATATTTATTCTAACGAGTTCGTTTGCTTCGAATTTCTTTTGCCAGAACCTTGTCATCACGTTATGTTAATTTTACACATATATATGCAGTCTATCATGATGCGTGTTGCAGAGGGTGATAAGTGGAACGGATAAGAATCTGCCACACATGAAGTTTCGATCTCGTTTAACGCAACATAACCGTGTATGCGCAGCAAGAGCTTAAGAAAGAAAAGGAGCATATATACTGGACTATATAGGGAGGGGGGGGGGGGGAGTAGAAGAAGCGTCGACACTCATCTTCTATGCATGCGCTTGCAATGATGCTTAAACTACATGCTGCGAAAATGCGGTCACGTACACCTGTCAGGTAAGTGGCTGAATTCGTACGCTTCAAGTCGAGGTTGCGAAATGTGTGTACAGACCGTAAACATATAGCAAGATTCTCGATTACTGTTTTTTTTTTTTTTTGTGGATTCTCACAGGCGTGAAGAACTTGTGAAGCGCACCGCAGTCAGAAGAGCCTTCCCTGATACACGGCGTGTCAACCACAGTAAACAGGGAAGTATAGCCGTCCGTTCATTCGCTGCTGCTTTGATTAACCATTTTCACGGAGAAAAGAAACGCACGCTTCATGACCGAGTTACAGATTTAGTTGACGCGAGTATATAACGAAATCGTTTATAGAAGCGTCCAAGACTTTTGCGGTTACATCATGGAACAAGGGCAACCGTAAAAACATTCTTCGAATTTCTTTGCATGTGACATTGCTATCCACAACATTCACGTGCTTTAAGATAAAATAGGCTCGCTATGCTTCGTGACGCACAAGGTTTGTTAAAAAAAGATGCTGTCAGCACATTAAAATGACAAACGCTTGACAGATGATTGATTTGATTGATTTGTGGGGTTTAACGTCCCAAAACCACCATATGATTATGAGAGACGCCGTAGTGGAGGGCTCCGGAAATTTTGACCACCTGGGGTTCTTTGACGTGCACCCAAATCTGAGCACACGGGCCTACAACATTTCCGCCTCCATCGGAAACAAAACGCTTGACAGAGCTAATCATTTTCGCTGGGTATAAGCCGGCCGCTCCAAAACATAATCGATGAAGCAGCTTCGATCGAAGGCGAGTTTTCGCGTTCTATAGCTGCGCCTAATCTTCTGCGAAGGTTTTCGTAGACAGAAAACTAAAAAAAAAAACAGTGTCCATCTCTCTTGTCCTTTCCCTCACAAATAATATCGTGACCTCTCGGCAGTATACCGTTTTTTTTTCTTCTCTGCATGACCACAAACAGCGCACACACCAGCAAAAACACAGCAAACATGGTCTATATGCGCAGCGGCTTCCACGCGCAACCAAACACCCGACGACAGCGCCACCGCAATTTCGGGATGTATGTTCAATGTATAATCGTCTATAGGATGTCCTCACTTCATATTAGGCTTACGTACAAACTTTGTCGTATATATATATATATATATATATATATATATATATATATATATAGACTACACGATTCTGACGCCGATGCTTCCAAAAATGGCAAGAAAAGAGACTACATTCTGATAAATGTCGCGCTTGCCGATCGTGCCTATATATATAGACTGTTCATGCAAGAAGACTCGATGGTACACTTCGTTCAGGCGCAAGTTATGATAAGCAGTCTCCAAACTGTGTCAAACTATAGCGCAACATGATTATAACGCATTCGACATTAGATTCCGAGAAATCAAATCAGGTATATAGTGCGTCATTTTCTGCGACTTTCAGTTAGAAATCCTAATTAACGTGTAGTTAGAGGTTTGTTTATTTTGCAGGCAGTCGTGCTTAATTTTTTTTTTACACAAGAAATGTCAGATAACCGGCACACTTTTTTGTTGTTGTATTAATTTAGAGTGTAAAGAAGAGTAATAGTTTTGAAGTTGGCTCATCAAAGATCGTGTCATACATTCCCCAAAGTGATCGGCTACAGACAGCACACTGAGCTTAAGTCAAGACACACTGATTATGCAAGAAGGTTAAATTTATGCTATATGCGCAATGTATCGTATGCTCTTTCTCGGCCAATACTCCAAAGAACTGGTTAAGCAGGCTACGCCCACACATATAGACAATGCACTTCAAGGGAATATAGCTTTAAGTGAGCTTTAGCCTATATGACTCGAGGCGCTGACTGACACGCGGTCTCATATTGTCTGCTTCCTTTGCCGTGAAAGTACTATACGCATGTCCAAATTGGTGCAAGTAAGACGATGAAGAACACTCGCATATATTTACTACTATGTATGCACTTCTTAGTCTTCTCGAAACATAGCCTCTAATGCTCAACGATAGCCTATAATGTTCAAAATAGTGTTCTGTATGTATATGCAATCAGTATTGCCAAGAACGAAAAGAGGCGTTTCAAAAAAGAGTCCTTTCTTTTGTTAGGCACAACCAATTCAATATATATATATATATATATATATATATATATATATATATATATATATATATATATATATATATATATATATATATATATATATATATATATATATATATATATATGGTCTGCTGCGTATGTATACACTCAGCCTCAAAAGCTTATTTGCAGACCACACAATCGAGTACTGTTGACGTACAGTGAGTTGTGGCCCCTTATAAAGCGCATTATATATGTGCGGTTCGCATGTGCTATGTACGGGCTATATACTAATTAACGCGCTGAGTAGCGAGGCTGTGTGCATGAATAGCGAATTCCTTTCATCCCACGACCAGCCAACATGTGCAGTCGATTGTGTGTAGCACACGAACTCATCAAGAAAACTTTCACAGAGCTGCTATACTTCACCAACTACCTCGAAAAAGATCCTACACGCACTTCACGGACTATACTACAGTAATCGTAATCGCTAGCGCGTTCACCATGCATGCATCGTCTCCGTGGATACCTAAACCATGTGTGAAGACAAACTAAGGTAAACTATATAGTGATACTAGTCACACAAGTTAAGGAGAGAGCAGAAAGTTGGGCCGTGGAAAGTTTCAAGTCACGACTTTTGTGCAAGCCACCGTCGCGCAGAACTCACGTCACGAGTCAGCGTTGATACCGAAGTGTGCAAATGGTTGAAACGGGTACCGTCTTCCTAAACAGATCTATGCCTGGCGTATAATTGCAAAACGGGTATTTAGCATCAATTATGAGACGCAAATCTGATTTGAGGACAACTATAGGGTTCTCAGTGGCGTGCTTGTGCTGTCAGAAGGAATGCTCAGGTAACGTTGCCGTTAAGAACACTATAGAAAACAATGAGCTCAAGATGTTTCATGCAGAGTTCACAAACTGTTGCCTACCTGCTCTTTTCCCGGGTAGTTGAGCAATGTCGACAGACGAGAAGCCGTTGGACGAGCGTTCCCATCACTCACTTCAGAGGTGAGGCTCCACATACGGAAAGATGACCGCGAACGCGGAACACAACGCGCGTGCCCTGCACTGACCGCCGGCACTGAGCCGTCTGCGTTCTCGGTGCGCGCGCCTCATCGAAAACGCAGAGCGGAGCATATCCGGGCTCTACTGCGCACGCGCGGAGAGCGCCGCGCCGCGCAGGCGCAGTACGCGTCACGCATTCCGGTACGGAACGACTACGGCGCGGCCGTTTTCGAGGCAGCGGCCTGCGTTGCCTCGAGGAGGGCGTACGCCGGTTCGGCGGCGCTGGAAAGAGAGACGCGTGGAAAGAAGGCACACCGGAGGGGGGTCATCTCGCTACGCAGTGTGATATGCCATTGGCGGTAGAAGGAGGAGGGGGGCCGGTATCCACGGCGACGCTGGTTGTACGCTCCCGAGGAGAGGGGCGGCGCCACCGATGCCTCGATGAGCCGGCTCGCCTACCCCCAAGCCCGGCCCTATCATCACCGGCACAGTGGAGCGCGAGCCAGCGAGCGGGCCGCCTGCGCGTCGAGCCGGCCATGAGCTGATTGGCCCCGCCCGTAAAGAAAAAAAAAGTATGGTTCCCCCCCCCGCGCCGTCGATTCCGCAACTGAGCCGCCTCGGACTCCTCCAGTCGGTTCGACAACGCACACTGTGTGCACGCGCGCGCGCGCGCTGCGCATTCCGCGAGTGAGTGAGTGAGCCGGCTCGCCGTTTGGTTTCTTCGTCCCGTCTGCTAGTTTCTGGCAGCAGACGAAGCCTTCCGCTGTGAGACGACTCCGTGCACCCGCTCCTGCCGGCTGTCTATATCGTTTGGAATGCACCGCTATTCCGCAATCCGGGAGCAGACGAGACGTACCGCGATTCCGTGCTGCTCCCGATCCTCACTACAAGCAGGCGACGCCGTCGACTTCTGTGCGCCGCTCCCGTGTAGCAGTCAAGAGCAGACGACGCGCTGACTTTGCCGCTCCCGCGTGTATAGCCAACGACCAAATCATTTCCTCTCGCTGGTGCTAACGACGACACACCGTTATTCTGTGCTACTACCGATCCTCGCAGGAAGCAGACGACGTCGTTGACTCGTGTACTCTGCCCCCGAGTTGTCATCGAGGGCACACGACGCTGACTCTGCCACTCCCGAGAGTAGCCAACGGTCTGGCTGCTCCCCATCTCTGGAGCAGACGACGTGTTTGTTTACTGCGCTTGTGAACTTGTAGATCTGTGTGTTTCGCGTTCCCGGCGATGGCGCTTGGGCCCGCGCCCGCTCCTGCGGCCGTGTTTCCCGCGTCGGCCGCGCCGCCGCCGATGCTGATGCTGCCGACGCTCAACTTCTCCGTCGGCCAAGTGGCGGCCGTCTGCGAGACGCTCGAGGAGAGCGGCGACGTGGAGCGCCTGGGTCGCTTCCTGTGGTCGCTGCCCGTGGCGCACCCGAACTGCGCCGAGCTGAACAAGAGCGAGGCGGTGCTGCGCGCCCGGGCGCTGGTAGCCTTCCACGCGGGCAACTTCCGCGAGCTCTACCGGATCCTGGAGGGCCACCGGTTCGCCAGAGGCTCGCACGCCAAGCTGCAGGCTATGTGGCTCGAGGCGCACTACCAAGAAGCCGAGAAGCTGCGCGGCAGGCCTCTGGGACCCGTGGACAAGTACCGGGTGCGCAAGAAGTTCCCGCTGCCGCGCACCATCTGGGACGGCGAGCAGAAGACGCACTGCTTCAAGGAGCGCACCCGGTCGCTGCTCCGGGAGTGGTACCTCCAGGACCCGTACCCGAACCCGACCAAGAAGCGGGAGCTGGCGCAAGCTACGGGGCTGACGCCTACCCAGGTGGGCAACTGGTTCAAGAACCGGCGCCAGAGGGACAGGGCGGCGGCCGCAAAGAACCGGTGAGTCGATGTGTGTGTTTTGATTTCTGTGGATTATAGTTGTGTTCACGCCGAGCTCACTCTCGAGCTTGTTGGCCGACTCTCACCACCGTTGATCGCGTCGATGATGTATTTAGTTGCACCACCATCTCCTCCGAACGTGTTTAAACGCTCCAATAGTTATTCTTTTAGCTAATTTCAAGTCGCACGACACATGAACAGTTTTATATTGGAATGCACAAAAAAAAAAAAAAACGAGAAAGTCAATGCACACGCATGCACACACAGCATATATTGTTTTCAAACCCTTATCTGTACTGAAATTAAACGTCTCTTCTTTGAGGTGAAGTATACTTTTTATAAGCTTCCGTACGTCGTTGAAGCATCGTACACGTAATGCCGAAAAAATTAACTTGCTCGTCGCATTCTTGTGAACGTTAGTTTTCCTTAACGCTACGTTTAAATGAAACAACTAAATGAACTGCTGCATTCGTGTTTTCCTCTGAGGTTTGGCGTTGTTGGGACGAACAAAAATGAAGCACCTCGTATCTCGGGAGTTACACGACCTGTCAAGCGGAAGTAAAACCAGATGAGAATGTTAAGCAGACATCGAAGGCTTGCACTGGACGTGCATTTAAGTGCGTCCACGTGATGGTACGTCACAGAATTAAGTATAGCGAACTAAATCTCGTGTTACATTTATTCATGTTTACTGATTCATTCAGTGAGTTAATGACTCTTTCACAAAGGTAATGGAAATGAATTATGGTCAGCAGAGGATATAAACATGCTGCAATTTTATCATAAGCATATCTATAAACAGCATGCAGGGTGTATCCTTTATTCAACATTTTTTTCGAATATATAGTATAATTCTGGCTTGCTTGTGCTTGAACTTATGAGAAAAAAGCTAAATGACTTCCGTGGAATTCCCAAGAAGAAGGTTCCAATATAACAACGGCAACTTCTGTGGTCATATATAGTCTTGCTGCTCTCTTAAAAATATGTATATTTCCACAGAAACTGCACATATATTTTTTTTTAATTTGAAACGAGGAGAAGAAAATACTATAGCCAGCTGTTACGTTCGAACTATGAAACTATAATATGCTGAAATGAAGGTTCTCTTCATGCCCGTACGTAAAGTTGTGTTCGTTGAATTTAATTTTCTGTTCGCTTGCTTGTTGTTATGTAACACGTACTGAATACCTAATAATAAACATGCTTAGCCTGTTAACACCTACCGGGTAACAGTGACTATTCAAACGCAGCCATTCCATTTAGAGTAACTTGTTGACGGCAGTATTGAGAATCAAACGTGCATCACAGATTTTTCCATGCAAGAGCGTTATTAAGAGTCTTCGGTAAAGCTCTTTGAGGTTATGCACGGTATCAGCTTTGGTATAGCAGGCAATTCAAAACGTTTGTATACACACCCAAATGTGTAGCTTTCGCCGCAATACGTCAACGGTCGTCAATAAGTCAACGCGCTATATTTAGTAAGCCATGACAATGTTATTCCTTTGGATGAACTCAGTACTTTATTATAGGTTATACATGGGCTACATGAATGTAAAACAAACTCAGACATTTAAGATTCCAGATGGAACGACTCACTCTTACCATACCTGTTTAAGGGTTACGAAGATACACAGCTGTCCCTGCTTGATATGCATTAAAGTCCGCTTCTTGGTCAGGTGCCATTGTGCTCGCGTGGGTCACCTCAGCAGCGCACACACACGTACACAGTTTTATGGAATGTAATATTCATAACAGATGTCGTTCAGTTTCTCTCTCATTTATATATGAGCACTCTAAATAGAAATACGGGTTAATGCGTTACGCTATCATAGTGTGGTATACTTTCATACGAAAGAGGATCGCGTGATGAACTTTATTGACAAATAGAGAAACTATATGTGAGACTATATAAGAGTATATTTCTCTTCCGAAATCAAACCGATGTACAATACGGAAGTCGTTGCGTATGCGTATACCATTAAATTGTATCCTTAGACAATATACCAGAAGCGCTATACTCTTGCCACGTGGGGATGTTCGTCGGTAGAAAAAAAAAAAAAAAACTCGCAAAAGTAGAAGTGGTTGGCCGCGCCTCCCACGACTTTCCGCACCAGCTTGCAGTGGCTTATTTTTCGATGGCTTCTATACCTACGCATGACGGGTCATAGGTGAAAAATTAATTGTATCGGGTTTTAAGGTATATAGCCGGTGATTTACATGGCATGTTTCGGGATATCTTATTGTAGCCGATGCAGCCACAGTATAAGAAAAAAAAAAAGGCTTTCAGACCCACGATGCCAAGCGGGCATCCATGGGCTGAAGATTTGGTGCGAAATGAAAAATAATAAGATTAATAATATAACAAAATCATCTCCTTCGTTTTGTTTAATAATAATGGACCCTACGATGGAGGATTCCAGCAACAAAGAATCCTTAAACGTTTCATCGGTCCATGCTCTTGTATCGTTTTACGTTTGGATTCCCTTAAATGTATATTCATAACGCAGGAATAAGTGTGTCGACCTATACGCCAGCCCGTTTCTGTATACATGCATGGTTTGAAGAATGCACACTCGATAGTGCGGGAAGAACACGCTGAAAATGAGCACCGTTCATTTAGTATGTGTACACTTTCTCACTATATCGAGAGAAGTCGGATGGTTAACAACCATGGTTTGCCAAGCGAGACGAAGGATGTGACCGGTAATTTGTTTAACTGACTATAAATAACCACTAACGTCGAGAATAACAGGACTCCATTCGGCTCGCGTTTATAGAGCACGCATTTTGGGGTGAGGCTTGTCCGCAAATAACTCCAAGTAAAGTGTATACCACAAAGTTCAGCCAATAGCACTATGAAGTCCATTCCAGAGGAGCATCAAAAAATGATTTCTTATACAGTTTGCAAGTATGGCGGTATACGCAAGGCTTCGAGAAATTGGTACCGTGTTCACAAAAATTCTTTCGCAAGTGCTGTTTCCTCATTTGTCGGCGGGCTTCGCTAATAACGAGTCCCGCATCGTGATTGGCTGAGACGTTTTCTGACGAAAAACTTTCTCGGAGCAAGGCATCTTTTTTTTTTTTTTTTGAGTGCGGGTCTCAGGTGCTTAACGAATGTTCATACAAATATCATTCGCATTCCCTTTAAATGTAATAGTGTTGTACATATGAAAAAAAAAAGAGAGAGAGAGAGATCCTAATATTTTACGGCCGAATCTTCATTTGTACTTTAATGCTAAAGTTCTTGAATACGAGGAAGCGAATATTGTTTTACATTATTTCAAAGATGGATGCTCAATACTGGAAAGAAAAAGAAATATTTCAGAAGCTATTAAATTGAATTCACCTTTCCAAGGAACTCTTCATAATTGGTATGAAGTACGTATACACGCTATACACAGAAGCGCTGCTGACTTTCTTGCGGGCCACAAGCCTGAAAGATACTTTTTTAAGTATATAGTGTATAGCCTTTGTGCGAGACTGTAAGCCTTATGCGATAATCACTGTATATGTCATAGTAATCTCGGAGCACCTGGCGTATACAGCATGTCAGCCGAAAAGCCAGACAGTCATCTCCAGAATATGCATATATATTTTCGGCCTGGAAGACCATTACTCACCCACGCCGGTGAAAGCATTAGCGAAGAAGTGTTCAAATAGACCGGGAAACTAAACTCAATATGCGTTCATAAGATGACGCGTATATAATATGTCAACCGGAGTAATAATCGATAAAGACTATAGTCTCTTTAACGCAAAAATTTTGGCCTGTATATGTCTGTCTGTTGGTGTCTGTCCAACGATTCAGTCACCCCGTGAAAGTCGCCCGTGCTCAAAGCCCACCCATCTTGATCCGGTGGCATTCGTTGATACTTGCGAACATTGTCAATTGAAAAGCAAATATTACGCATATTTGAGGCGCGGCATCGTTACGTAAAGGTTAAAGGGGGGGGGGGGGGTATTTTGAAATCGCATATATAAGTAATTCTAAAGACCGAAGTGTTAATTACGTCACACTGGCAATACGACGCAATATGAACAAAAAAAAAAAGGTGGTGTTACCTATAGACGGTTATAAGGTCACATGTTTTGTACCCCCCCAAAAAAAAAATTCCGGTCACCTCACTTACCAGCTCCTATATATAACGTCGAAACTGAAATCACGTTTTCGATTTCTTTTCAAGTGTAAGGAAACTGTCTTATTTGTTTTTCACATTAATGAAACGTGCGTAAAGTACGAAAGAATGTTTTATCATTTTTTGTGTAGCTCGAAAGAGCATTTATTTGAATATATTTGGCCAAATAAGGGAAGGAAACTGTAGAAAATCGGCGGGATATTTTCTATAGCTCTTGTGATCCAGCAATGCTATGAAATCACATCGGTGGACAAAATCGGAAGTCATCAAGGGGCTGTAAACCTTGGAAGTGTCTATACGCTTCGCTAAAAAATTCAGGGGCTTCAACTGTAAAGTGACCTGGTGCTGCCTTGCAGTGGCTCGGCGTTTTAAATAAACTCTCTTCTTCCAACAACTGCAAGATGGCGCCACATATCATGCAGCGCATCCGCACAGACGGCTATGGTATTTTCGATGTCATTTGCACCGAAGCAGGGAGATACCAGCCAATGTTTTTTTTTTTTTTTTTTAGAGTGTTGCTCGGTACGATTCGGGCATATTACGTCCGCCGACAATAGACGCGCAGACCAACGATTTTCGGTGAACCGATTGACTCGACTATATAGTCCAGCATTCTTGCGCCGAAAAAAAAAAAAAAAAAAAACCCCGCCGTGGCGTAATAGTATAGACTTGCAGGTGCGTGATTTTGTCGAGGTGTGAGAACGACGAACAATTTTGCCTCATTCGCGAGACCGGTTGCGTATAACATGTTTCTGTAATGTAATATTTGTATACTTTCGAAACGACAGGGTAAACGTCTGTCTGCTACGTGGTTTCATTTTGTGACTATACAATCGACGAGATAACACGATTGTGCCGAAGAAACGTT